TTTTCCAAAGAGTAGAAGAAGAAGGAATACTTCCAAACTCATTCTATGAGGCCAGCATCACTCTAACACCAAAACCAGGCAAGAACATACATGCAAAAATACTCAACAAAGTATTAGCAAACTGAATTCAGAAATACATCAAAAAGATCATCCATCATGATCAGGTAGGATTTATTCCAGGGATGTGAGGACGGTACAACATTTGAAAAATCCATCAACATCATCTACCACATCAACAAAAAGGACAAAAACCACATTATCATCTCCATAGATGCTGAAAAAGCATTTGAAAAAATTCAACACCCATTCATGATAAAAACTCTCAACAAAATGGGTATACAGGGCAAGTACCTCAACATAATAAAGGCCATATATGACAAACCCACAGCGAAGATCATACTTAACAGCAAGAAGCTGAAAGCTTTTCTTTTAAGATTGGGAACAAGACAAGGATGCCCACTTTCCCCACTTCTATTCAACATAGTACTGGAAGTCCTAGCCATGGCAATTAGACAACACAAAGAAATAAAAGGCATCCAGATTGGCAAGGAAGAAGTTAAACTGTCCCTGTTTGCCAATGACATGATATTATACATAAAATACCATAAAGAATCCACTCCAAAACTACTAGATCTAATATCTGAATTCAGCAAAGTTGCAGGATACAAAATTAATACACAGAAATCTGTGGCATTCCTATGCACTAACAACAAACTAGCAGACAGAGAAATCAGGAAAACAATTCCATTCACAGTTGCAACAAAAAGAATAAAATACCTAGGAATACACCTAACCAAGGAAGTGAAAGACCTATACCCTGAAAACTACAAGACAGTATTAAGAGAAATTAAAGAAGATACCAATTAATGGAAACTCATCCCATGCTCACGGATAGGAAGAATTAATATTGTCAAAATGGCCATGCTGCCTAAAGCAATCTATAGATTCAATGCAATTCCTATCAAAACACCAACAGCATTCTTCAATGAACTAGAGAAAATTGTTCTAAAATTCATATGGAACCACAAAAGACTTTGAATAGCCAAAGCAATTCTGAGAAGGAAGAATAAAGCTGGGGGCATTACGCTCCCCAACTTCAAGCTCTACTACAAAGCCACAATAATCAAGACAATTTGGTACTAGCACAAGAACAGACCCATTGACCAATGGAATAGACTAGAGAGCCCTGATATAAACCCAACCATATATGGTCAAGCAATATACAATAAAGGAGCCATGGATGTGCAATGGGGAAATGACAGACTCTTCAACAGATGGTGTTGGCAAAACTGGACAGCTATATGCAAGAGAATGAAACTGGATTATTGTTTGACCCCATACACAAAAGTAAACTCAAAATGGATTAAACACTTGAATGGAAGTCATGAAACAATAAAACTCTTAGAAGACAACATAGGCAAACATCTCCTGAATATAAGCATGAGCAACTTCTTCCTGAACGCATCTACCCAAGAAAGGGAAACAAAAGCAAAAATGAACTCATGGGACTACATCAAACTAAAAAGTTTCTGTATGGCAAAGGACACCATCAACAGAACAAAAAGGCATCCTACAATATGGGAGAATATATTTGTAAATGACATATCTGACAAGGAGTTAACATCCAAAATATATAAAGAACTTACATGCCTCAACACCCAAAAAGCAAATAACCCAATTAACAAATGGGCAGAGGATATGAAGAGACAGTTCTCCAAAGAAGAAATTCAGATGGCCAATAGACACATGAAAAGATGCTCAACATCACTAATCATCAGAGAAATGCAAATTAAAACCACAATGAGATATCACCTCACACCAGTAAGGATGGCCAGCATTGAAAAGACTAATAAGAACAACAAATGCTGGTGAGGATGCGGAGAAAGGGGAACCGTCCTACACTGCTGGTGGGGAATGTAAGCTAGTTCAAGCATTGTGGAAAGCAATATGGAGGTTCCTCAAAAAACTAAAAATGGAAATAGCATTTGACCCAGGAATCCCACTCACTTGGAATTTATCAAAAGAATACAACTTTTCAGATTCAAAAAGACATATGCACCCCTATGTTTATCACAGCAATTTTTACAACAGCTAAGATATAGAAGCAACCTAAGTGTCCATCTGTAGATGAATGGATAAAGAAGATGTGGCACATAGACACAATGGAATACTATTCAGCCATAAGAAAGAAACAAATCCTACCATTTGCAACAACATGGATGGAGCTGGAGGACATTATGCTCAGTGAAATAAGCCAGGAGGAGAAAGACAAATGCCAAATGATTTCCCTCATTTGTGCAGTATAACACTGAAGTAAAACTGAAGGAACAAAATAGCAGGAGACTCAGAGATTCCAAGAATGAACTAATGGTTACCAAAGGGGAGGTGTGTGGGAGGGCAGGTGGGGTGACAGGGAGAAGGGGATTGAGGGGTATTATGTTTAGTACACATGGTGTGGGGGATCATGGGGAGAACAGTGTAGCACAGAGAAGGCAAACAGTGATTCCACAGCATCTTACTACACTGATGGACAGTGACTGCTTTGGGTTATGGGTGGAGACTTGATAATATGGGTAAATGTAGTAACCACATTGTTTTATTATGTGAAACCTTCATAAGATTGAATATAAATAATACCTTAATTTAAAAAGAAAGAAAGAAAGAAAGAGCGGTGGTCTCAGCTAACCAACGTAGGCCATCTACTGCAGGCGTGCCCTGTGTTCCCACCCACTCGCGCACCTTGGCACTGAGAGCCACAGACGTCCTTGTGTTACTGTGGTGCATCTCTCCTCAGCCTTTATGAAAACCTCCTATTTTCCTTGCATGTCAGTTCTCTGCCCTGTCACAGGAACAGCTCTGCCAGTTTAAATGTGACTCTAGCATAAACAGTAAAATGATTTAAGAATGAGAAAAAAACAGATGATGAAAGCAGATCAGAGTTAGAGAAGATATTCATTAAACATCTACCTGATAAAGGACTGGTATCTAAAATATATAATAACTCCTACAAATCAGTAAGAAAAAGACAGACCACCCTAATAGAAACATAGGAACATCATTTAAACAATAACACCGCAAAAGAGGATATGCAAATAGTCAATAAGTATATGAAAAGGCCTCTGTCCATTTCAGGGAAATGTAAACTACAACCATAGCGAGATACCCTTACCTACTCACAAAAATGACTAATACTGACAAGTGTTAATTAACAGGAGGACCCCAAGTGTTGAAAAGGCTGTAGAGGACCTGGGATTGTCAGACATTCCTGGTGAGAGTGGTAACTGGCCCTACAACTCTAGGGAACTTTTTGGCAATGTCTATTAAATATGAACATATACATCTCCTATACTGGAAATTTCACCCTAATTCTCAGACATTAGTCACCAAAAGGCATGCCCTGGAATTTTCAGAACAGCACTGTGGGTCTAGTCCCCCAAATGGAAACAATCCAAACGTCTACAAACAGTAAAATGAAAAAACAAACTAATACAGTCACACAATGGATTACCATACAGCAATCAAAAGGATGAACCATTCCTGTACCCTTTCTCAGGAGGCTACCAGAGGATGTGCCTTTAATGAAGAGAGTAAGTCAAGATAAAGGAAGATATTGGTTCTTTGGTTCTGAGAAATCAAGAATCCAGCACAATAGATAAAAGTATTCTCCAGAATGCTGATGAAGGGCGATCCCAGAGCACAGCTACTCAGCGCCCCTGGAGGCCACCCATCCTGACAGGAATCCAGGAGGGATTTCTGCCCACAGAGGAACTAACTGAATACCTAATGTAAATGACCTTACTGAGAAGAGAATTTCAAAACTCGGGGAAAGTTTAGGGTTTGCTATGGTCTGAATGTTTTTGTACCCCCCAGATTCCTATGTTCAAATCCTAACTTCCAAATGCTGGTATTAAGAGGTGGGGACTTTGGCAGGGGAGTAGGTCATAAGGGTGCAGCCCTCACAAACAGGATTAGTGCCCTTGTACAGGAGACCACACAGAGCTCCCTAGTCCCGTCCACCATGTGAGGACACAAAGAGGAGACTGAAATCCAGAAAGAGACCTCACCTGACCACCCTGGCATTCTGCATTCTACTGATCCGGGACCTCCAGCCTCCACAACTGTGAGAAGTAAATTTCTGTGGTTTGTTAGCCACCCAGTCCGTGGTATTTGTTACAGTGGCCGGAATGGACTAAGCCAGGGTTGAACTAGCAAGAAGCACTATTCAGAGAAGATTAAGTGGGGGATGGGAGAGGCAGTAATTATTAAATGTAGGGTAGGGAAGTAGCAGTGAGGCAGAGAAGAATGTTATACAGGGGAGAACATTCAAACATACCACCTGGATTGGCAGTGAATAGTGTTTCCATAGTGAGATCAATAAAATACTGAATATTTAAGCACTTTTACAATGTAATTCCATTTGGAGACAGAGGGATGAGAATTATGCCTACATGCCAAGGGCACTGTGTGTGTGTGTGTGTTTGTGTGCGTGTGAGAAAGAGGGAGAGGGAGAGGACCCAGACAGAACCCACCTTAAGTTCTCATCTCCCAAAGTGTGAAATGAACAGGTAATACCTAACATGAGGAATTCAGGAAGTGGTATGATGAGCATGCTAGAGACATGGATGATGGTTAAGTATGAAGAGAATGAGCAAAAACAGTTATAATATTGTTCTGGGAAATGGGAAATGGAAGGGGCACGGGGGTGAGGTGACAGGTTAGTGGGATGCAAACAGCTAGGACTTAAGAAATAAGAAAATTTAGTGGGTTATTTGACTCTTAACATCATGTGTATATGATTCTTGGTAAAAATAAAGTAAGAATGCATGGTCCACTGTGTTGAATGCCACCAAGAACACCAGGATAGAAGTGATTACCACGTTTGTTGACATCAGCCCATTGATGATCTTTGAAAAGATCAATTACCAAGAATTAAAAATTGGTAGTGATAAAAATTAATAACACTACCTTAATAAAAATTTTTTAAAAATTAATAACACTTACACAACTTTAATTTTCTCAGGAATTGCCCATATTTTAATTGTTATCTTTGTTTCAGTTGGTCTTCTCTCATCTTCTATGTGTGGAACCCTGAGGAGATACCCATATAAATATTTTTAGTTTGTTATTGATTACAGGTTCCCACTGCCATTCTCTTTAAAGTCATTTGGTCATAGAAAACTTCAAAGGATAAATAATGTGTAATCTCCACCCATTGCCACCCACCCTGCACTAATTCTTCACTTGTACCTGGAGGGCCCTCTCCCAGGGAGTAGATAGGAGTCCTTTTTTGCTTTAGGGAAAGGGTTCCATTATTAGCCTTTTCACATCCTAAAGCTGTGTCTAGGGGAAGACTGAAAAATTCAGACACACGTTTACAGTTCCCCGCCCTCCTTTCTCCACCAACCCCTTCCAACCTTCCGATCGAATTAAGATTCCACTGCAGGAAGGAGAGGAGGGGAGAGCCCTCACGGGAAGCAGTGGGCAGATACAGGAATCAGAGTTCGGCCTAAATAAGGAGGCCCGGGGTCTGCAGCCAGTCAGCCCCCAGAGCCCGACCAGCCTCCAGGTGAGATAGCTAAACGCTCTGCAGTGTCGCTCTGGGGATTATCCATGTCTGGTCACTGGGCCTCCCCTTGCCAAAGCCCAGAGCAGTCAGCATACCCCCACATCCTGCTTGTCTGTCGGGAATGACAAGCCCCTTTCCCAACAGAGGCTTTGCCACCTCCTAACCCCTCAGCTCCATGTGGTCAGCTGGCCCTCACCTGAGCAGGAGCGGACCGGACAGAAGTGGGGTGGTGGGAAACACACCTTCGTTGCCTTCACAGCTGCGGGTGGGCCATCAGCTGGAGCAGAACCTAAGGGCAGAGAGAGACGGAGGGGTACTTTTACTTGGCAGCTCACGTTTCACAGACACCACCTAGCGGCAACCTCCCCCTCCAGAAATTCCGCCGGGGCCCCGGGCGTCTGGGTAAGGTGGAGAGGAAAAGCCAGTCCTGGCTGTAACTTTGTCCAACTGTGCAGCGGGGAGTGGGGAGGAAATCCGTTGTCTTTTTGCAGGGTGGCTACATTAATGCCATCAGTTTTTGTTTACTGAGCATTTTTTCCACAAGTTTTCAAATGAAACCTGTTGCCTTTGTTTACTTTATGAAAAGTTAACTATTTCAAGAATTTAAATACCAAAGTTGGCCAAAAATATTCTGTACTCTTCCCTTTATAGCACTGCCTGTTGGATAAGGCTATGATCAACGAGAGGCCAGATGTGATTTAAAATACGTACAATTCCAAAGAATGATTAAGTATGAAGTAATTTGTTTTGAACTTACAAACTAGTTTCAGCTGAATTATTTGTAAGATTTTTAAATGACCCAAATACATTTTTACTAAACCTAGACCCTCCCATACGTGTAAGAGCACAAGGTCCACTTCCTACGCTGTCTGATAGGCAGGTGCCGGTGCTTCCAAGCACTGGACTCCCAGCGCTGACACTTCCCTTGTGCAACTTTGATTTCTGAGGTTGTAAGTAGTTATGTAAGCTACATTTAGACAGAAGGGGAACAGTCAAATGTTTTGCAAAATCCTGTAAGGTTTCCTAAGCATTGCTAACACTTCCATTAATTTTAATCTTTTTTCAAACCTTTAGTGAATTAGAATTTTGTATTTTAAGAGTTAGGCTTTGTGACAATAAAAGTAGCTATTTCCTTGACAGTCTTTCAAAAAGTCTTCAAGTGTCATATAAATACTGTACTACACTTTCCTAAGAATCTGCTGTTTTCAGAACTGAAATAGTAAAATGTCTAAATTAAACCTAAATGCCTACAATCCCAAGGTGCTTTACCACATTCACATAGAAAGGCATGACTGCTAAAACATTAGGAAATCAGACACCCTCTGGCAGTTTAAAAGACACTTAAGCATTCTTTCATGAAAAGATACAACCTGTGGCTGAAAACATTAGATTGTCTTGAATGTGGAAACACAGATTTAATAATATTGGATGGACTCTTCCTTCGGTTGCTAGAACAAACCCCTAAGGGCTCTCACAAGAGCATAGCAGCTACCTTGAGCAAAGCTCAAGCAGGGTTTAGCAATACCTCATGTGAAAATGATTTAGGTAATGCAGACAGCAGTTATATCAGTATGCACTGAGGTTTCCACCAGAGAAAAAAAGCCCTTGGTCTACATTAATAGAAAAGCATTGATGACAGGTGCTTTCTCTACTCCAGAAGCATGACGTGCAATTCTGGTTGTCTCACGTAACTGCAGGGCACCCAGTGCTCCCCCAGTAGTTGTGAGAACTCCTGAATGGGAGGTGGTGTGTTTTGGTTTCTATTTTATTTTACAGATTTTAACTGGAATTCTTAGGAAACCAGAGCCTAATTTCTTGCAGAAAAAGGAACAGATTAGGGCCGTCCAGATGTTGCTGGCCCTGCAGTTCACTATTCTCAGCTGCAAGGAACTTCGTAGTTTTCATCTCTTGCCCACAGGTCCCAGGCTCCTGGGATCCGTCTCCCCATCCTGGGATTTCCCCCCACATCTTTTTTTGATTCTTACTTCAAAGGCTTCCATGCTTCAAAATTGAACCTAAAAATTCCCATTTGTTATTCAGAAGCCCTTCCGTTACTTTTATTCAGCCTACAGGACTTTCTCTCTCTTGACTGAAAGGCAAATTAAGGTATGATAAAGAAAGAGAAAGGCAGAGGGAAAGGAGGAGGAGGAGGAAGGGTGGGAAGGGGACGGCGGATGGAGAAGAAAAAGCAGTTTCCTACTTAAATGAGAGACTGCTTGTTGTTGGGGCAACGTGCAAATTTTCTTCCCTTTACACACAAACTTTCATTTTCAGCCCTGATTGTTTTTTTTCTCATTGGCTTCGGTCAAGCATTCCACGAGCTGCTCGGCTCACCTTGCCCACACTTGCGTTCTCATGCTTCCGGTGAAATAAAAAAGTTGTTTCCTGCCTCCCTCTCCCTCAAGCAACCCGGAGACCACTATCAGAGATCACCCCTTGCCTGGTGGCGTTTTCTTCTACTACTACTACTACTACTACAATAGTATTATACACAGCAGTAATAGTAACTTCGTTCGGGTTCCCGGACCCGATTCCAGGGTGTGTACGTGTCGGGGCTGTCTTACCACAAACTCAAAGCAGTACTCGATCAGCAGGATGTCCAAGAACTAGATTCTGGTGCTACCTGCCCCATCAAATTCCCCAGGTTAAGGGCTCCCTCCTACAAGATTGCCCTCCAGTCCCCACTCCAGACGCTGGTCGCAACCCCAGGCAATTCCCTGTGCTTCTGACCTACTGGTTTCAGGCTGGAGGTCCCCACGACCTGCCTCTTGGGTTCGATTAATTTGCTAGAGCAGCTCACAGAACTCAGGAAAACACTCACCTTTACCAATTTAATAAAGGATTCCGTTAAGGATACAAATTAGCAACCAGCTGAAGAGAGACAGAGGGTACTTCCGAATAAAGGAGCTTCTATCCCCGAGGAGCTTGGGGCCTGGCTCCGTGGCACATGGAGGCGTACTGGCTCCCCAAACAGAGGCAGGATTCAGAGGAGCGATTTGTTCTCCTCAGAGGGTTTTGTGAGGGCTTCATTGCAGTCATGACTGACTAAATGTTTGCCATTGGCTGATTCAACCTCCAGCCCTGCCCTTGGGCTGGTCCAAAAGTCTCTCATTAACATGACAAAACACCCATTTCACATTTAAGACTGCAGTGCTTTCAGGCACTGTGGATGAAGACCAAATATACCTGAGATATATGTATTTATAAATGACCAAATATGTACTTCTTATAACTCATTACATCGCACCTCTATTGCTGGCATTAATAGAAATGTTTCTGGTATTTCACCATTAAATATGACACTGGCTTTTGGTTTGAGATACACACATTTAAAAGTAGGCCGAGAAGATCCTTATTTTGCACTAGTCAAAATTCTTGGTTTCAAATATCAGAAACAGAATCCAGGTAATTGAAGGGAAGAAAATTATGGAAAGCTATTGGATTGCCCAGAGAATCTCTGGGAAGGCTGAAAATCCAAATGCAGCCCATTAGAAGAAGAAAACCTGGGAATCATGGAACTGGGGATTCCCTTGAAGTTTGGGAGTTGTCCTTGTTCCTTGACTGGGAAGCAGGGAGTAATAAATCTCAAGTGTACAAATATTATAAATTTATCTGGTCCAAGTACCCATCCGGGAGTTGAGTCTCCACTACAGCGTTCCCACCAAGTGGCCCATCAGTCTCTGTCTAACTGGTCTTACCAATTTTCTTTGGCTTCCTGTAGCATTTACCCATTGTTGCTAGTTTTAGTCCTTGGATCATCAGAACAGACCTAATGCATTCTGCTCCCTCTGCCTAGAATGCTGTTTTCTGAACTTTCTAAACACAATCATACTGATCTTTTAAGAATAAATCAAATTTTATCTCTTCTAAAAAAATGTAAAACTAGGAAACCAGGTTACAAGCCAAAGTACGCCCGAAGAGGAGTCGGGGTTGACATGCTTCTGCCACTCTTGCAGAGCCTGAGCACTGCCGACTGTGCCGCCACCAGACTGAGTTCTGAAGCGCCCCTGCTTCTGCGCATTCCCCGCTCTGACTCTGTGTCCCAGGTGTGGTTCTCTGGGTGTGAGGTTTGGGCTGGAGTCCGCCCTGTGGCGTCCAGGGTCAGGAGAAGCCCGTGCCTGGCTTTGCCTCTGTTCCATCCGGACTCACACAACTCCAAGCTCCAGAATAGGATCCTGATGCTGAGCAGCCAAAAACTGAAATGATAAATATCTACTACCCATTTATTTTGACTTTACTAAAAGAATTTGGCAGGAGTCAGTATTGATTACCTTTCCAGCACTTGAGGTGACCACACGATTTTTTGCTTCAGACCTATTACGAGAGTAAATATGTTTATAGATTTAGTTGGAAAAACTACTTGGTTGTGAGTACCGTATTCTTTTAATGTACAGCTGATACTCTATTTGCTGATATTTTATTTAGGATTTTCATAGTTAAGTCATCGGTGTGATTGGTGTGCATATGGATATTTTGATGCCCTTATAAAACAGTTTGGATGATGAAAGGGTATCTCGCTGTGACCCTCCTTACCCCAGAAGGACTCAGGAGACACAGGCCCACGCAAGAGATTTTATTATCTGAAAGAGAAAACGGCTGCCCCCAGAGAGAGGGAGCAGCAGCTTGTGGGTGAGGAAGTGCGATTTTAAGAGTGGGGGTAGGGTGTGTTCTGTGTTTGTGATTGGATCTTAAGGGTGGGGGTCTTAGCACGCCAGAATTTGCCTTCAGATGAGTCCCTCCTATTTTCTGGAGCAGTTAAAATACTTACAAACACTTGTGTATTTCATACCGGGCACTTCTAAGTGAATTACACATATCTGTTTACATACTCTCTGCAACAACCATATGAAATACCATCATTTCCATTTTCCACAAGAGAAAATGGGCAGAGTGGTTAGATAACTTGTCCAAAGCTACAGTATTAATCCGCATCAGAATGGTATGTTACTTGAGGAAAACTTTTTAAAATTGGCATATAGTTGATATACAATATCACATTGGTTTCAGATTACAACAGTGATTTGACAGTTACCTACATTATTAAATGCTCACCAAATATTAGAAAGCTTTTACCTGTGAGATATAACCAAGGGTAGTATTTATTTGGATAAGAAGCTAGGGTTTGTTTTTTGACAAATTAAAAAATAAAATCCTAAAACAGTGGTTCTCAAAGTTTGGTCCTTGGACCAGCAGTGTCAGCAGTGCTTGAAAGCCACCTGCTGAAATCAGCAGCTCTGGGGTGCATCCCAGCAGTCCGTGTTTTATCAAGCCTTCTAGATGTTTCTGATGCATGTCAGAGTTTAAGAACCACCAAGTCAGAAATATAACCAGGTTAGTCAAACATTCACTGAAACAGGGCTGAACCCAGAGGGAAGGGCAGATTTAAAGTTTAGGATTGGAATCTTCAGAAATGTCTTTTGGCTTTGTTCTTGTGTAAGCTCTTCTTCCTTTGGGGAATTTAGTTCTCCCCCACAGTTATGTAATCGTGTGATTTTGGTGGGGCTACTAAACCAGGACCTGGCTCAGTGAGCACAGAATATTCCAAACATTCCTAATATCCCATTCTCCTGGCTTTAGTAGGCAAGGGCATGCAACCCAAGTCAGTCCAGTGAAATGCCTCCTGGGATTACATTTAGAGTTGGAGGGAAAAGAGCTTTGCTGTTTGCCTTATGGAGGTGAGGGCAGATATTAAACAGGGGATATTGTCTGACAATTTCTCTGTCATGTGGGAAAATCCCACCTGCCTAGAGGAGACCAGGTCCAGAACAGTGAAAAAATAAAGTTGAAAGACCTGCACAAGCTCATTTCAGTTCCCGGATCTATCCTCCCCAAACCCGCCCTACCCTGAATTTACCAGTTACACAAACCGATAAACTCTTTAGATCAGACTATTTTGAATTGGGTTTCTGTCACTTGCAACGGAAAGCCACACAAAAGGTGGGGAGTTTATACAGGGCATTAACCTATTTTATTATCACAACGTTTTAATCCACAAATCTAGCATTTTGGCAACACCAAAGGGCTTATCTAAACTAGAATTTTATACTACTTCATACCTTAAATATTGGGTAACTAGTTAAAGTAATTTGGCCTTTTTATGTTGTTGGTCCATGAACTTGCATTTTTTCTAACCCCAGGCCCATGCTTCCATCTGTCACCAGTAAGCTATGACACTTCTGCTTCCCTGCAGCTGGCAGCTGCCACAGAAAACACCCCTTCTAAACTGCAGACTCCTATGGGAGTTTGTTTATTTGGCAGGGAACTGAGCAGAGCAAACCTTGGCAGCTCTTTTTCCTCTGTTTGGCTTAACCTTGAGGAAAACCCGAGCACATGGGAAGCCCTCAGTAAATATTTATTGACTAAATGAAATGAAACAAAATTACAACAATAAGAGCAAAAACTGAGGCTTTTATTTCAGCAGATAAACTCCATGTCCATGCACGAATTTAGGACACTTGTCCTGGCAAGTTTTAAGTATCAGGGGTGCATGTGGTTGCAGTAACAGAGGTCAGAGCATGGAGTCTTGAAGCCTTGGGGCAGGAGAGGCCGGCACACCTGTGCCCAACAGCCCAGGGCCTGGGCTTTGTCTGGTGGGAGGTGAACATGTACACTGAGAGGCTGATACTTGTCTCTGACCCACTTCATCCTCTCAGCTCTCCAAGGGGATTACTGTATTGCTTTGGCTCCTGGCCAAGGCTGGCTCAGCTCTCTTTCTTTTCTATTCTTTTTGGTTTTGTTTATGTCTTATTTACAAGGCTTCTTAGACCTATGTCATTTAAGCATGCTTTGAGACTTAAAATTCTCCCAGTGGTTTTCTGTTTTCTAATATACCCATTATTCCATTTGTTACAGAATTTATTTTGTATCTCCACACAGTCTCATCAGAATTTACTGAATAGCATACTCTTCCCCTGAATGTAGTGCAGTATCCATCCCATCCTCAACTGTTCTGTATTTCTGGCTAAAAGTGGATTTTACAAGGAAGGTCACAGATGGGACTAGAAGAAAGTTCCAGAGCCTGACTAAAGTCTGGCTGAGCCAAAACTCTTTGTCAGGGCCCATGATGCCACCTCCACCCTGAAGACGGGCTGCTTGCTCAGCCCCAGGCTCACCCTGGGCTGCACGTGGTCACTGCTGCTCCCGCCGCGGGGTCCTTCCCCTCAGCTGTGTATTTCTGAAATGTTTACAGACAGTGCCATTCCCTCCTGAGTGGTGCTAAGCACTTTAATCTGCTAACATATCATTTGTAATCAGATATAAATTCCAGTGAAAAGTACGCTCAGGAGGATCTGTTCATTCCAGTCAGGTACCTGAAGATCTCTTCATACATTGTTGTAGTTTTCTCTGTATTTCTAGCTTTTTTTTCTTTTTCTTTTTGCTTGGCCAGGCCTTCCTGTTAAGAAGAAAATGATTAGATCTCCTGGTAAATTTTTTTTTCTCTAAAAGCAAATTTAACCTCCAAATATAAGTATCCTCTGGCTATCTGATTCTAAAAAGTACATAATTTAAAGAATGAACCCCTTGAAAAATCCATAATCTACAGGTTTGCATATCCGAGCTATAGTTTGCAAATCCTTTCCAGGCATTCTGAACGTTCATAGAACAGAACGTATCAAATTTATATATTTTGGATGTTAACCCCTTATGCGATATATCATTTACAAATATATTGTCACATTGTGTAGGTTGCCATTTTGTTTTGTTGGTGGTATCCTTTGCTGTACAGAGCTTTTTAGTTTGATCTAGTCCCATTTGTTCATTTTTATTTTGTTTCCCTTGCCTGAGGAGATGTGTTAGAGAAAATGTTGCTCATGTTTATGTTCAAGAGATTTTTGCCTATGTTTTCTTTTAAGAGTTTTATGGTTTCAAATTTTATATTTGTCTTTAATCCATTTCAAGTTTACTTTTGTGTATAGTATTAGACAGTAGTCCAGTTTTATTCTCTTGCATGTAGCTGTCCAATATT